CTTGTTTGGGAGAGATTTTTGGGGGAAGAATTGATTTTGAATAGTGATATGATGGGAAATGTGTGGTTGAAAAAGAAGAAAAAATTATTGATGTGATGGAAAATATTATTTTATTGAAAAATGTGTGGTTGAAAATGAGAATTGATTTACTGTAGAAAAATTTAATCCCTCCCAAACAGGGCCTTAATCTAAATATCACCCCACCCCATTCATTCTAACCCAATTTCATTTCCAAACTTTAATCATCTTTCCTCCTCGTCTTTTCTCTCTCTACTATCTTCCTTCTGTCCCTATATTTTCTACCTTCTCTCTATCACAGACAACTGTTGGCGATACCATCACCACTGCAGCGACATCACTCTGAAGTAACCAAAGTCTTTGTGAAAATGTTGCGTAGCGCTGCGATTGACGCGATGTCGTTGTGCAGTGATGCCTCTGTCTTCATTTGTTTTCACCATTGTTCAACCTCTTTCAGTAGCGACATAAGTGACGCTTCGATTGTCTTCGTTGCTGTGTAGAGGCGTCTGTGCGGTGGTATCTTCTTCGCTGTTACGTGATCTCCGGTGGTTGTGTAGATCTGCATTGTTTTGTAGACACGCGTTGGTATGTGATCTCCTGTGGTTGTGTAGATCTGAGTGGTGGACCATAGGTGATGTGTACAAATCTATGGGAAGTGTGTGAATTTGTTGAGCTACATGTGGTGCTGGTGGTTGGGGATTATTGAAAGTTTTAGTGGTAGTAGTGGTGGCGGTGGTGAAAGGGAGTGGTGTTAGGTGGGGGAGATAAAATGATAATGTGTGACCATTTAATTAGTTAACTATAATTCATTTGATAATTTGTGATCGAGACATAAGTTGTGACCCATTAATTATATAATTTGTGACCAATTAATTTGATAATTTGTGACGGAGAATCATGTGACTCATTAATTTAATAATTTTTCATTGAGAAAGCACTTGTGACCAATTAATTTGATAATCAGTGATCGACAAGAAGTTGTGACCAATTAATTTGAGAATTTGTGACTGACGATAAATATGTTGTGACTTATAAAATGTGTGATTTGTCACAAAAAAAAGTCAAGATTAATTAATTTAATAATTTACGACTGATAAAAAAAGTTTTAACCTAAAAAAATTGTGATTTGTAACTGCTTGTGACCAATTTCGTGTTGATTGTGATCGATTATGATTTGATTACATACCGTTACAGTTAATATTGATCTGGTCACAGATATACATACTGAAAATAAATTTGACCACGTTTAATCACATTGAAAACAATTTTGGTCACAATTAGTCATAGACAACACATGTTATTGACTTGATTACATACAGTTACAAATTAGATGATCACAGACAATCACGCTGAAGACAAATTTGATCACAGTTAGTAAATATAACACGTCTTGTCATAAAAAAAAAAAAAAAAAAAAATCTGGTAACAGATAACACAATTAATCACAAATCGAAGTGCTTTCGTAGGGGTTGGGGTGCAATCTCCAAAAAACGTTTTAAATTTTTTGAATTTTTTGAAGGGTTGGATTGGGGTGGGGTGTAATCTCCATAAAAGAAATTAATTTTTGAAATTTTTTTACTAGTTGGGATGTAGTGAGTAGGGTGTGGTTTCAGGGGTGGGTGTAATTTCGAAAAATGTTTTCAATTTTTGAAATTTTTTTATAGGTTGGGTGGAGTGGGAATAATTAATTCCAATTAATCATATATTATATATATTATTAATTGAAATTAACATTTGAATTTTGAAATAATTTGACAAGTTTGTTAATTTTAAAATGTAATTCTTATACATAAGAGATATATCGTTCAAATGTTGGGACAATGATTATATTGGGCAAAAATTAAAAATCTAATTACGATTAAATTATGGCATAATTAATTAAAAATATCATGTGAATATAGTTTTCAAAGAAAAAAATTTGCATCTTCGTTTTATTGATGGTGCTATGAATTCGGAATTGGGGTCTCCACAATGTTTTCTGAAGAGATAATTCAAATCGAACCAATTGGTTCAAATTGAATTTAAACAGATATATTTTGTGCATAATATCATAATAGGATCTAATTAATTATTATTATTATTATTATTATAGAAATAAGAGGGTTAAAATGTTCACCATACTGTATTGATTCTCCAAGTGAAACATTTTGCCATCTCTTCGAAAATTTGTACACTACATGCGCAATAGATAACAAATGTTGAGAAGCGTTTCTATAACAGTCAATTACCACAAAATATTTATGTAATTAGCTCTATTTAACAGTTTTCGGAAGGTGGGAAAACAGAAAGGAGAAACTACAGAAGCTTCTTACAAGTTACAATAATGGTAATTAACCCCAAGGTTGATGCATTAAGCTTCCATTTGGTGAAAAACAACACAGTCCAGATTTCCATGTTTCTAACACGTGAGAACTTATTCTACACAAATCATCAAGCAGCAAAAATCCACAAATAATAAATTGGTTCAACCAGTCTGTTCACTCGGGTTTGGTTTAATCCCACTGCAACAGAAGAAGTGTGGCAGCTTAACTCGACCGCATAC